CTCTTACTTTGTGCTCCACAGTTGTCAGAATCCCAATTTTTTCAAGCCTCCGTACCTTTGCTTATGCTATTCCCAACCCCTAGACTGCCTTTCTCTACCTTCTTTTCCAAGACTCCTCTCACTTACTCATTTTTTAAAATGTTTATTTATTTGAGAAAAAGAGAGAGAGAGAGAGAGGGAGAGAGAGAGAGAGACAGAATCCAAAGTAGGCTCCAGGCTCGGAGCTGTCAGCACAGAGCCCAATATGGGGCTCGAACTCGTGAACTGTGAGATCATGACCTGAGCCAAAGTTGGATGCTTAACCGACTGAGCCACCAGGCACCCCACCTCTGACCTATTCCTTAAGACTCTACACGGACACCATTTCCTCCAGGAGCTGTTCCCTGGCCCCACCTCTGTTACAGCAGGCCTCTCTCTATTAGGGCACTTGCCTCCCCATGCAGAAATAGGCCATGTCCCAGTCTCCTTCCCGTGGGCAGGGTGGGATCACTGTGTGCTCCACCAATGCATTGGTGTCACCTGTCAGTGCAGTGTGCCCACAGTGGTGCTGCAGACAGTGATCACCAAAGTCAAGCTATGACGGGATCATTAGGTTCTTCTAATAAACTGACTTAATAGCAGATCAAAGCCGCAGCTATGATTTAAACACTTAAAAACATGTTGCTTCTGATCCCTTGGGTTTCTGGGTCTCTTTCCTCTGTAATCCCAGTTAAAAAATATTGCATTCAATAAATATAGTGAAACACATAAAATATTCCTTTTCATTTCTTTCTTTCTCTTTCTTTCTTTCTTTCTTTCTTTCTTTCTTTCTTTCTTTAATTTCAAGACCGTGTACAGTTCTTGCCAAAATCAAAAGAGCTGAGAAGGGTAAATCATTTGTGTGTGTGTGTTGTGTGTGTGTGTTGTGTGTGTGTGTGTTGTGTGTGTGTGTTGTGTGTGTGTTGTGTGTGTGTGTTGTGTGTGTGTTGTGTGTGTTGTGTGTGTGTTGTGTGTGTTGTGTGTGTGTTGTGTGTGTGTGTTGTGTGTGTGTGTTGTGTGTGTGTTGTGTGTGTGTGTTGTGTGTGTGTGTTGTGTGTGTGTTGTGTGTGTGGGTGTTGTGTGTGTGGGTGTTGTGTGTGTGTTGTGTGTGTGTGTGTTGTGTGTGTGTGTTGTGTGTGTTGTGTGTGTGTGTTGTGTGTGTTGTGTGTGTGTTGTGCGTGTGTGTGGTGCGTGTGTGTGGTGCGTGTGTGTGGTGCGTGTGTGTGGTGCGTGTGTGTGTTGCGTGTGTGTGTGGTGTGTGTGTGTGGTGTGTGTGTGTGTGTTTTGTGTGTGTGTGTGTGTGTGTGTGTGTGTGTGTTGTGTGTGTGTGTTTCATGAGTTTCTGGTCATTCATTCTTGTTTTAAGATGACATAATTTCATAGCCATTGACAAAGTCGTGGAATAAATACTCTGGAGGAGACCGTCTGGGATTTTAATGTGCCAACCAAACACCTGGGGCCCTTGTTAAGAATGCAGATTCTGGCTCAGTACATCTGGTGGGAGGCCTGTGATCGTGCATTTCTAAGAAGCTCCAGGGGATGTCTTCGTTCCCCGTCCACCGACCACATGTAGAGTAGGGAGGCAGTAGCATTCAGATGCTGTGTCTGTATTTTTATCCGGTGAGACTTTTAAAGCAAAGGCGTTTCCTTCTGTTTCAAAATACTCCAGTGAACGAGCACCGCAGATGACTTGGTTATAGGAAACTTGAGCAAAGCTCACACTGTTGTGTGTCTAGGCTTATGTGGGACGTGTTGGGGTCCAGGCACGCTCATGTTGCATAAACAAGATGTGTGGCATCCTGTCCACTTTCGGCTCTTTTTCCTGATGGGCAGATTTAGAGCGAAAGAGGGCACATGTCATTGTTCTCTTTGATAAAATTTCATTGAGAATAGTTGGTCATCTCAGGGCATTCCTCACACTGATTCATTATCTATTCATTATTCATTCTACACACTATTCATTACCAGGAGTAGGATATCCTGGTATCCGGAGATCAGGCAGTCTTTCTCACTGGTTCCAGAAAACCCCTGTGCCTTAGTTCCCCGGGGCTACCAACAACTCCCACAGACTGGGAGGCTTTAAACAATCGGTTTATTCTCTTACCGTTCTGGAAGCCAGAAGTTGAGATTAAGGCGTCAGTACAGCTACATGGCCATGCTCCCTCCGAAGACTTCAAGAGAGAATCCTTTCCTTTTTTCGGCATCTGGTGGCTTCTGGAATTCCTTGGCTTGTGGCTACGTCACCCCGATCTCTGCCTTCATCCTCACATTGCTTCCCCCTATTCCCCCCCACCCCCACCCCACCCCAGACTTGCATCTCTGTGTTTCTGATTTCCCTCTCACATCTAAGGACACTGGTCCTTAAATCCAGGACTGATCTTACTCCCAGATCCTTAGTAACATCTGCCAAGACCCGCTTTCCAAGTAAGGTCACATTCACAGGTATTCGGGGTTGGGACTTGCACACATTTGGGGGTGGGGCTGTTCAATCCACTGCACCCTGGTTCCTTGAGTCCACTGTGAATTCAAGACATCAAGGTTGTTGCAAACCCCCTATTCTGTGCAGAGTAGACAGAAACACTTTGTACCTGTGTATTGGAGGAGGGGGGTTAGGAAGGTGTTGATATCATCTTTCCAGCCCTCCAAGTTATCTTAATGATAAATGGAGAAACAAGAGTGGACAGGTACTAGATTTTTATATGTGGCAGAACCTGTGTGTAGACGTGTTAAAGCTTTTGTTTTCTCTTTGCAACTATGAGATACCTATTACTGATATTACAGATTCTTCATTTACAAGACATTTTCTTATATATAATCGGTCTTCATTTCTTCCTCTTTTTCTCTTTTTTTCTGTTTCTCTGCCCCTGTGCCAATCTCTTCATGCCTCTTTATCCTCCCTTTCTGACCGCCAGCTGACCAACCTACCTAGTTGTCCACCCAGCTGACTTATTCAGTTTTTTTTTTTTTTACTCTCTCTCATTTCAGAAAATACTAAGGCACTTTTCAAGAATATGGATTGTTAGTGTCTGTAAGTCTTGAGCAACAGTTCATTAATTACTCAGATACAAAGAATTTAGAAGCCAATGCTGATTGATGAGAAGGTAAGGTCTTTCTAAGGCAGAAAAGATCAATCGATAGATCAAAAATTCGGTATAGACACCTTTTCAGTTTCCAGCTGGTTGCACAAAGTGTGACGTATTCTCCTCGTATAGTGTAAGTTTCGTGTTCCACTAAGCATCCGCTTGGCTAGCTAGTTTTACAGCGGGGCCAGATGGTGGATGTAAAAGTAATTCTTTTTTCTTTTTAATGTTTATTTATTTTGAGAGAGAGAGAGCAAGCGCACAAGCAGGGGAGGGACAGAGAGAGGGGGGAGAGAGATCCCAAGCAGGCTCCACTCTGTCAGCACAGAGCCCGGACACAGGGCTCAGACTTACAAACCATGAGATCATGACCTGAGCCTAAATCAAGAGCCAGACGTTTCACCAACTGAGCCACCCAGGTGCCTCAAGTAAAGCTAAGTCTTAATTGTATCATTTCTGTAAAATCTCTTGAAGATGTAAAGAAATGGCTGTTTGCCATTAGATAGGTAGGGAATTTGGTCTTCTCTTTCACAGAGATGGCTAGGTAACAAATGAATTAGCAAGCAGCTACTGGAAAATTCATGGAGTGCAAAGTGCTTAGTGCCTTCTAGGATGGTTCAGTGTATCCTAACATATTGGCGGTGGCCATCCCACGCGATTTAGCTGTTTTGCTTTAGGTTTCATTTCAGGATCTGGAATTGGTTGAAACCAAACTTTCCAGAAATCAATATCAGTGCATAGATAGGTTTCCAAGACTGCAATTGTGTCCGCAGAAAGGAATATGCAATTATTCCATGGGTAGAGAATGAGAGCGAAACCAGAATAAAAATGATTTTAAATGTCTGCTTTTAAAGATGAGAAGGTGTATCTTGTGCCAGACCTACTGCTATGGAAATATCCCACCACCAAAGAAAATGTGCTACTTTGGGTTTTCAAATTATTTGGTCTTAACCTAGGGATTTATGTGTAGGTAGTAGATCCTTTAGTAAAATAATGGACAGCCATTTATTTCTTTAGGTACTTCCCTATGTCTCCATCTACACGAACTCCATTGTGGAAAAAGAGATAATGCAGTATACAGTATGGTGTTTGAGGGGAGACCAGACTCTGTCTGCCTAGAGAAAATCCAGGCTCTGTGGCTTTGGGCAAAGTACTTCTATCCTCTGTGCTCAGTTATCTCATCCATCAAATGGGACTTTCCGCATCTCGATGTTATAGGGAGGATGGAATGGTTAAATACGAAAATGCATGTGAAATGGTAAGCAGAGACTTGCCCTGAGGCAGCCGCATTCCGTAGAAATACAAAATGAACCACACTGGCAATTTTAGACTCTTGAAGAGCCTCATTAAAAAGTGAAAAGAAACAGGTGAAAATAATTTCAGGAATCCATTTTATTGAACCCAATATATTCCAAATATTTTCATTTCAACATGTGATCAGAATTACGAATGTGGTACAGTACTTTCCTGATCTCTGGCTGCCCCCCGTGGTGATTCAGATTCACTTGGTCTGGGGTCCAGCCCCGTCTGGGCGTATTTGCAGAGCTCCCAGCTGGTTCTCGTGTACAGACCGGGAGTCAGCCCAGTGTCCTAGGCAAATCTCCTTACTACCCCTTTCCATGAAATAGATGATGCCACTGGCTGGAACCATTTCACAATGTTACTGCTAAGAATGAAACGGGATCCTGATAATGAAACGTATTGCGAAATATAAAATGCCGCAGGGAGGGAAGAGCTTCTGGGTATTCATATTTATGCCAAAATGTGGTCCTTCCCAGTGGACCCTCCTCCCAGAAGGTCTGCTAAGGACCTGTGTGGTCTTGTCCTTGATTCTAACTACTTCCCATCCTTTTCTTGAAAGGAGGTGCTTTTTTTTTTTTTTTTTTGCCTCTGAAACTGATTTTTCCTGAGCACTGCCTTTGTGCCAGGCTGGATGGATAACGGACAGAGCATGATTTTGGAAGTAACACTCAGTAGAGGCAAGTGCCAGGCCCATCTGCTTATTAGCATTCTCTGGGGCTTCGTTTGCTGGTCCGTGACTGGATGCCATGTACGAGGCTGGGCTTTTGTGAGGACTGATAGAAATAATGGACACACGCACTTAGCTTGGGTCTAGACTCCGCTACAGGCGTTCTGCTGGGCCCTGTGCCATGTGTGGTTCCCGATGACTCGGGAACCGGCCCTACCGGTGGTAGTTAAGCTAAGTCACTGGTGGCACTTGAACGATCACATTAGCTGGTGAGCACACACGTCCCCAGAGCCCGCATTCCTTGGCCCTACTCTCCCACGCATTTACAGAGGAACTCTTTTTTTCCTTTGCACACACGAGATCGCAAGAGATTTGGCCTAATCCATGTTCAAATGGACTATTTCCTCTGTCCTGAGGGGAGAGATTGGGTTTAGCGTGGCTGAATTGGTTATTCAACTTTTAACTGCCTTCCTCTGGAAGCACACCCAGTGTTGCTGATTGAATCTGCCCTCGGGAGGGCGGCCCTGCCTTTCTAGCTGGTGCTTCTTGAGGGAGCTGGGCCCCCATCAGACAGGATTCGGGGCTAAAGGAAGTGCCCCCATCTTCCTGGCTAACGGAAATTCTTTCCTCTTCTTCTCAAATCGAGGTAAATTAAGCAGTAACATGTTGCAACAAACATTGTGGGCTTTCTTGCACAAAGGGGTTTCTCAAGGGGCGCCTGGGTGGCGCAGTCGGTTAAGAGTCCGACGTCAGCCAGGTCACGATCTCGCGGTCCGGGAGTTCGAGCCCCGCATCGGGCTCTGGGCTGATGGCTCGGAGCCTGGAGCCTGTTTCCGATTCTGTGTCTCCCTCTCTCTCTGCCCCTCCCCCGTTCATGCTCTGTCTCTCTCTGTCCCCAAAATAAATAAACGTTGAAAAAAAATTAAAAAAAAAAAAAAAAGAGGTTTCTCAAAAGTCCACTGGCCGATTAAAAAAAGAGCAAAACCACCTGACTTATTGTACGAATGCACCCATGGGTGTACCAAGCGTCTCATGGGGGCATGGTGATCACCTGACAGGCTTGCCACAACTTCTGTGGACTGTTCGCGGACTCCGTCAGAGCGGTACACGTGGTTGTGTGATGGCAGGCAGTTGTGTCTGTGCTGCTGATTTTCTGGGTGCAGTAATTCAGACCCAGAGAGGTAGGGATCTGCTTAAAGCCAGGAACCGGTAACATGTGATGCGGGAGCCTAAGGTAGGCGGACAGGCCACAAACACCTCCGCCCCCGCCCCAGGTGGGATTTGTGTGGTATTCCTCGGGCACTCCTGACTGCCCAAGAACGAAGGAAACGGGTGAACAAATGGTTGACTGATAGAGATCCTAGTCCTATGGGACCCAGGTCTCCATCACCCCTCCATAGCGATGTGGGAAGCAAAGGCAGAAGGAAATGGCAGATCGAACTAAATTTCCTTGTAATCTGCAGCCCACTGACAAATCTTTGAGGCCCGCAGAGTGAAAGGTTTCTCCGGGAACTCTTTACTGTCTTAACATTAATGCTTTGCTTGAGGGAAAACAGCCTTAGCTTGACAATAGATAGGCCTCCAGTATCCTGTGAGTCATCTGTAGCATATGCAAATCTCACTGGAAACTTCCCCTGGACTTGACCTCCTCCAGTCCCATAGTTTATTACCCGTCTCTCCTCACGGTCCCTGGGCAGCTCTTCCTGCCCACGGGTCCTGTCCCCGTGGTACAAGAAAATCACCTTTTGGCCCCAAAGATGTCTTCAAGAATTTTTTCTTGGCCGTCGGCTCTGGACCCCATGAACCCCATTGTCACCCCAAAAAACCTCATCAATATGTACAGATAACATTTGTGGATGACCTCCCTAAGTCAGGTGGCTAAGAAATGCTTCACGTGGGCGATTTCATTTCGTCCCATCTCTGTGACTTGAGCTCTAATATTATGCCCATTTGATGGGTCAACTAGGAGAGTGGGTCGCTTCTCCCAGGTTCCCCATCTAGGAGCAATAAAGACAAGATGAGAGCCCGAGACTCTCAGCAGGGCATTTCGGAGCAAGCACCTCCCTTATTGTGTTTATGTAACTGGGAGGCTCACTATGATAATGAACAATTTACTGTGGGTTCAGAGCAACAGGGGAGATCCCTTAAGATAGTGTATAATTAATTCCTAACGAGTGACACGGTCAATAATTGCTATATGAATCCAGACTAATTTGAGTCCAATATATTTTTAAAAATAAAATAAAACATACGGTTGGCTAATCACAGCTTCACAACCCTCTCCGTTTTCTACCAGGAAGTCAATTCTTAGTCTATTTTTAGTTGTATTGTTGCATATGCCGCGCATATCAAACACTTCTCAAAAACATTGACATTTACAACTGTAGCTTTGTCTGGCTAACTGGTAGCTGTCCCACAGCAATTTGTGCAGGGGCCATTAGGAGGCAATTTGGTTGAAAGGTCATCCATAAGAAGGGTGAACCAGGGGCACCTGGGTGGCTCTGTCCTTTAAGCGTCTGACGTCAGCTCAGGTCCCGATCTCACGGTTTGTGAGTTCGAGTCCCTGTGCTGACAGCTCAGAGCCTGGAGCCTGCTTGGGATCCTGTGTCTCCCTCTCTTTCTGCCCCTCCCCAACTCATGCTGTCTCCCCCCCCGCCCCCATCTCAAAGTAAATAAATAAGTTTAAAAATAAAAATAGAAATTTATCATCTCTGGAGCATGTGTGCCTGCCTCATTTTGTGGTAAAAGGGAGGAATCTTAGTCGTAAAGAGGTTATGCTCTGTGGACACTTGACGTCTGATGGACAAGGTTTATTCTACCTGCCTGTCCACCCTGACGTGTGAACACTGGGGTAGCACCCTCCTCATCCGGGTCCTTGGTCCTGAGAGACTGGCGAAAATCTTTTCTGAAACTGAGAGGGACTCTGAGGCTCCAGCCCCTGAGAGATGACGTTTTCTGCGATCCTTCATGAAGGTTGTACGGAAGCCGTCCTGTCTTCCGTGCTGCATGGCAAGTCGAAATCCCTTTTGCTGGCCTGGCTCCTCCCAGGATGCTCTGGGCCTGCTTTTGCCCACTCTGAGCAGCGGTTTTGACTCCAATTGTCAGGGGGAGGCCTCCCAGGACAGATGCTATATATAGCCTTACCGAGGGGGTTCTTTTCCTGTGGATTGTATTGAGACGGCAGAGAGATTTGATGAGCATGACTGAGCCCGCAGCCCATGAAGGGACACAGACCTCTCCCCGCCTAATTACAGTCGGCACCCGAAGTAATGCAGAAGAGCCCTTCACATCCACCTTTCCTTGCTCTTCCCTGAGGAACATTCACAAGCTTTGAACTAGTTTGGGGAGGAGCCGTCTCTGCCCAGTCTCACCCTCCTCCTCACCTGCGGGCCCGCGTCATTCTTCCATCATCTTTTTGCTTCCAGACCCTAATTACTGAGTCTCCGGCCAGGCCCTGTGCTCATTTCCTATTGCTGTTGTCACAAATTGCCACGAATTCGATGGCTTAAAAGGACACATTTATCACGGTACGGTCCTGTAGGCCGAGGTCGGGAGTGGTCCTCAGTGAGCCGAAATCAAGGTGTCAGCATGGCTCTGTTTCGTTCTGGAAGATCTAGGGGAGAACCCATTTCCTTGCCTCTTCCGTCTTTGTGAGGCCTCCTGCATCCCTTGACACGTGTCCCCTCCCCCTATCTTCAAAGCCAGCGATGGCCGACCACGTCTGTCGCCGGGTATCGCTCTGACACTCTCTCTCTGTCCTCCTCTTCCACCATCAAGGATCCTGATGATTACGTCAGGCCCACCTGAATAATGCAGGGTAATCCTCCTATCTATTTTTAACGTTTTTATTTATTTTTGAGAGCAAGAGACAGAGACACACAGAGCACAACTGGGGGAGGGGCAGAGAGGGAGACACAGAATCTGAAGCAGGCTCCAGACTCTGAGCTGTCAGCACAGAGCCCGACGCGGGGCTCGAACTCACAAACCATGAAATCATGACCTGGGCTGAAGTCGACGCTTAACCGGCTGAGCCACCCAGGCGCCCCAGTCATTTTCATATTTTAAGGCTGATGGATTAGCACCCTGCAAATCCAGAATCTGTGAAAATGTTACATTTCATGGTAGAGGGAAGTTAGCCAATGGAAGTAAAGTTTCCAGAAGGTGAGATGTGGACATCTTTGAGGGGCTGTTATCTGCCTCCCATAGGCTCCACACAGCCCTCTGCTCTGCACAGTTGGAGACTAAGAGGAGGCATTTGAAGCTGGTGATGGGGAGCACGGCCTCTTGCATCCGAGGGCCTGGGGTTTCTTGCCTTCGTAAGATACTGTCTTGGTGACTTTGGACAAGCTCTAGTTTCTCTGTGCCTCTGGTCCTCAAACCACAAAATGGACGCGATAATAGGACTGCCCTCATGGAGTCAATGTGGTTCTAAATAAGGTAATACCTAGCGTTTGGGCCATAGTTAGAGCTAATAATCCTAGCTGTGGTACTTATTGAACTGTTGTCATTGATTACCCGGGGAATGGCTGTGTCCTGTGTGGCTTAGTGTCTGCATTATCTAAGCTGGCTTTTGCATCCTCTGGGCGGAGGCTAAATTGTTTTCCACGTTTGCTTACAGAGGAGCGGAAAAGCCTTTTCAGAAACTTTATTTATATTTGCTGCCCTGTCCTGACATTGGATACTGAGATATATGTCATATATATCAATATGTATCAATATGTATATCATATATACGTATCGATATATACATATATATCATATATACATACCATATATATCAGCTATATACATATATTTTTTAATGTTTATTTTTATTTTTGAGACAATGTGAGAGACAGTGCAAGCAGGGGCAGACAGAGGGAGACACCAAATCTGAAGCCAGCTGCAGGCTCTGAGCTGTCAGCACAAAGCCCGACGTGGGGCTCGAACTCACGAACCCCTAATCGGCTCATGACTTGAGCCGATGGCGGATGCCCAACTGACTGAGCCACTCAGGTGCTCCTGATTATATATATTTACTCCATATCCAGGGTCCTGTGTTCACACCAGGTTGGAGATCCCTTTCCATCCCCTCCATCTGTGTGGAGAGGAAGCCCTTGTTAATCAGTTTCACCAACTGCTTGGGTTGTGCAGAACATGGGCTATCTCTTGGATTACAGCCCACTTGAGGATTTATTCAGTAGAAACAGATTAACTGTATATTCTGAGACGTACTCACAGTGCAGTGGGTCTGTTTGATGGAATAAACGTCTGCACAGCTGCCAGACTTTGTTCTGTGATGCTGGACTTCATTGGGCATTGGGCTTGCCAAGAGCCGATAAATGCAGGGAAGGGGTTTCGACTTAGAACCTTTTGTTGCCGATCGTCCCTTGCACAGGGGCCCCTAACACTGCACCCGATTTTGCTAGCTGTCCGTCCCCACAGCAGGCCCGGAGTGGACTTCATCTGAGTTCCAGGGCTTTTAGAGGACTAAACCATCTTGGAGAGTCACAGGATCATAGATCTCCTTCTTTATGAGCGGGCATAGAGAGTGATTTCTCTGAATTCCACAGCTGTTAATGAAAGAAGAGGAAATCCAGCGTGTGCCTGAATGTCTTCACATACTATAAAATTGTTGCCTGTGCCAGAAGTAAGAAGGATGCTTTATTTATTGATTTATTGATTTATTTATTTATTACCCGAGAAGCCTTGTTTTTATCTTCTGGAAAAAAAAAAACAACACTGGATCACGAGGGAGTCCTCATTTCCTTTTTGGTTTTCTGGTTCCCTTTACTCAACATGTTGTTTGATGTGCTGAAAAGAACCTCTTTTAAATTGTGAACTAGCATTTCATGAAACTGTTAACATATATGACCTTGTCAACCGTTATAACTCTCTTAAAATGGAGTATGGAGACGAACGTCCAAGTACGAATGTGGTGTTCTAGTTTTGCAATACAGGAAGAAAAACTTCTGTGAAGACGAGAGGGGATGATTGTACACTTTCAAATGTGAATGAGATCAGTGAAGTGTTTCTCCCAATCATTTTATACTTTCAGTTTGATCCTTTTAGGCAATGACTAAGAGGCAGCTCTTCTAGAAAGGAACCCCGGATTTCAAGCTCTGGTGGAATGGTGTCCCTCTTTGCGTCATCTCTTCTCGGGAAGAATTTTAACTCACGGACAGTCATGTTCAGTCAGGATGCTGTTCTAAAATGGGATTGAAATTTTGGGGCGCCTGGGTGGCGCAGTCGGTTAAGCGTCCGACTTCAGCCAGGTCACGATCTCACGGTCTGTGAGTTCGAGCCCCGCGTCAGGCTCTGGGCTGATGGCTCGGAGCCTGGAGCCTGTTTCCGATTCTGTGTCTCCCTCTCACTCTGCCCCTCCTCCGTTCATGCTCTGTCTCTCTCTGTCCCAAAAATAAATAAACGTTGAAAAAAAAGTTTTTTAAATGGGATTGAAATTTTACGTTAATGCGCTTACTCCAGATTTCTAACCATGTGAACTCTCCCCCTTCTCTGAATTTCTTATGTGTCTTTTCTTATATATACTCAGTTCAGCGTTCGTGGAATCCTGCAATAAGTTAAGCTATTGGTGCCTGCCTTCTGATATTGAATTTCCTGCCTCAGAACTGTCTTTGTCAGAAGCCAGTGGGTGCAAATCTGCCCACGTAAAGTGGCTAGTAAAAGCCAAATCTGCTGCCTAAGATGTGGCCATGGAGAGTAAAGCAGGAGTCAGTCCTATGTTTTCCCTCCCCCTCTCCCACCACAGAC